CCCGTGGTGACACCAGTGTCCCCCTCGGTGCCACCAGGCACTGCAACATGGTGCTGGAGAACGTCAAGGAGATGTGGACGGAGGTGCCCAAGAGCGGCAAGGGCCGCAAGAAGGCGAAGCCGGTCAACAAGGACCGCTACATCTCCAAGATGTTCCTGCGCGGAGACTCCGTCATCGTGGTGCTCCGCAACCCGCTCATCGCCGGCAAGTAGGGAACGGCGCCGGAACCCGCGAAAACGGCGCCGAAACCCGCGAAAACGGCGCCGAAACCCGCGAAAACGGCGTTGGAATGCCCCAAAGTGGCACCAAGATGCCCCAAAATGACTCAAAGATCCTCGAAAATGGCCCCGAGATTCAAAAAACCGCTCCGAGATCCCGGAAAACCGCTCCGAGATCCCGGAAACCGCTCTGAGATCCAGGAAAACCGCTCTGAGATCCCCAAAAAATGGCACCAAGACGCACTCAAATGGCACCGAGATCCCCGAAACCGCTCCGAGATCCAGGAAAACCGCTCCGAGATCCCAAAAAATGGCACCAAGACGCACTCAAATGGTACCGAGATCCCGGAAAACCGCTCCGAGATCCCAGAAAACCGCTCCGAGATCCCGGAAAACCGCTCCGAGATCCCGGAAAACCGCTCCGAGATCCCGGAAAACCGCTCCGAGATCCCGGAAAACCGCTCCGAGATCCCGGAAAACCGCTCCGAGATCCCGGAAAACCGCTCCGAGATCCCGGAAAACCGCTCCGAGATCCCGGAAAACCGCTCCGAGATCCCGGAAAACCGCTCCGAGATCCCAAAAAATGGCACCAAGATGCACTCAAATGGCACCGAGATCCAGGAAAACCGCTCCGAGATCCCAAAAATGGCACCAAGATCCAGGAAAACCACTCCGAGATCCTGAAAAATGGCACCGAGATCCAGGAAACCACCCCAAGATTCAGGAAATCCCTCCAAGATCCAGGAAAACTGCTCCGAGATCCTGAAAAATGGCACCGAGATGCCCCCAAATGTCCCCAACATCTGGAAAACCGCTCCGAGATCCCGAAAAATACTGTCAGGATGCAGAAAACCTCCTCAAGATCCAGGAAACCGCCCCGAGATCCATAAAAATGGCCCTAAGATCCCCAAAAATGGCTCTGAGATCCCTAGATCTGCTCTGAGATCCAGAAAAACACCCCGAAATCCCCCCAAATGGCTCCGAGATGCAGAAAACTCCCTCAAGATCCAGAAAAACCACACCAAGATCTAGGAAACCACCCCAGGACGCTTAAAAATGGTGCAGAAATCCAGGAGAATGGCCCCGAGATCCCGAAAAATGGCCCCAAGATGCAACGGGAGCTGCTTGGATTTGTCTAAAGCTCCCTGAGATCCAGGAAAATCCACCCAGGATCCATCAAAAGTTGCCTGGGATTCCTCAAAACCTCCCCGAGATCTGGCAGGAGCCACCTGGATTCCTTCAAACTTCCCCAAGATGCCTCGAAATCCACCCGGGATCCCTCAAAACCTCCCTGGGATCCATCAAAACCCACTTGGGATCCATCAAAACCTCAAAAAGATCCAGTAGAACCCACCTAGATCCATCAAAATCTACTCTGGATCCATCAAAAGCTCTTGGAGATCCAGCAAAACCTCCTTGAGATCCATCAAAACCCACCTAGGATCTATCAGAACCCACCTGGGATCCATCAAAACCTTGAGATCCAGTAGAACCCACCTAGATCCATCAAAATCCACCCTGGATCCATCAAAAGCTCCTGGAGATCCAGCAAAATCTCCTTGAGATCCCACGAAACCTCCCAGATATCCATGGAAACCCACCTGGATCCGGCAAAAGCTCCTGGAAATCCATCCAATTCTACCCGAATCCACTCGAACTTCCTGGAGATCCATCGGAACTCGCCCGGATCTATCCGACCCCCCGCCGGGATCCATCCAAACCCAGAGGATCCATCCGGGATCCCCCAGGATACGCTGGGATCAACGTCCACGAAACCTCCCAGATATCCATGGAAACCCACCTGGATCCGGCAAAAGCTCCTGGAAATCCATCCAATTCTACCCGAATCCACTCGAACTTCCTGGAGATCCATCGGAACTCGCCCGGATCTATCCGACCCCCCGCCGGGATCCATCCAAACCCAGAGGATCCATCCGGGATCCCCCAGGATACGCTGGGATCAACGTGGAATTGAACCGGGATCCACCAGGACACGCCGGGATCCAACCGGGATCAACCAGGACACACCGGGATCCACCTGGAATCGAACCGGGATCCAACCGGGATCAACCAGGACAC